GTTCTATTATCTTCTCATAGACTGATTATTAATAAGGGGAAAGGTGTTAAATGCTGAAATAATTTACTAAATATATACATTTTATTACACTGATTGTGTGTGTGTGTGTGTGTGTGTGTGTGTGTGTGTGTATGATTATACGTGTGCCACAGCATATGTCTGGAGGTCAGAGGACAGCTTGAGGGAGTCGATTCTCTCCTTCCACCATGTGTATCCCTGAGACTGAACTCAGATCATCAGGCTTGGTGGCATCAGGTTTTACTTAAGCTCTGAACCATCTCACCTGCCCTCACCTACTACATTATTGCTACTTCTCATCTAAACCAGGCTGAACCGACTGAACAGCATCATTCAGGAAACAATTCAGAAAGTTTTCTTTCTGAATCTATAATAATTGGAAAACGATTTTTGAAACTATTTCATAAAATAATTACTAAAAGCTAAAATAATGTAAACGCTTCAGAAAATTATTCACCCAAAATACCTATTTTATAGAATATAAATAAAATCACAGGTGCTTCGATATGATACAATGGTTTTTAGGACTAGTTGTATAAGCAGCAGATCTCGGACACTAGCTAGGGTCAAAAATCAACATCTTCTGTCATTTTCCCCCCCACAAGCTGATAGAAATGAATAGGATGGGATCCATGATCAAATTTTGGAATAACCTATATTAAACAACCTTGACTCAACAATTTCTGAAGCTAGCTTGAACATATAACTCTTTTATCTCCCTAATACCTACTAGCATTGTGGATCTGGTGTTCCATAAAATAAATATACTGTGGGAAGTTGCATAAAAGTATAGATTAATCACTCCTGGGTAAACACATCTTACTCAAGTTTTCAGTTATCCAAATGATCAAATATTCTGATTTTGAATTAAAGCTTTTGCTGTTCCTTCTGCAAATAAATTTTTGTCCAATAACCTATCTCAGAATGATATTACCTTGAAAGATTGAACACTAACCTATAAAATGCATTCTATAAAACAAAACAGAGGGGCTGGAGAGATGGCTCAGTAGTTAAAAGCACTGACTGCTCTTGCAGAGGACCCATGTTCAATTCCCAGCACCCACATGGCCGCTGCGAACCATCCTTAACTCTATTTCCAGGGGAATCCAAAGCCCTCTTCTGACCTCCGCCGCATTGCACCACACGGGTGCACTCACATACATGCAGGCAATACACTCATACACATAAAATAAAAATAATAAGTGAACTATATTTTTAAAATTAACAAAACAAAAAGCAAAATAAGAGCTGTGCTCTGCTTTGGGATTTCATGTAGAAGCCACACATAGTACTTTTCTTTCTCTAATCAGGCAGCGGTGAAGGCTGTTGTGGCCTCTTCTCGGTTGGGAAGTGCAAGCAGCAGCCATAGCAGCATCCAGGAGAGCCACAAGGAGAGCCGAGAACCATCTCCAACCCAAGATGTCAAGGACAACAAAGCTCTTTCAGAAAAGAAAATGCAAGAAGGGGCCAAAGTGGCAGCCAAGGGTGCAGGGGCTGAGCTGAGGAAGCTGGATCTCGGGGAGATGGTGAAAGATGCAGTTGTAAATGCTGAGGAGGCCTCCAGGATGGTGCCCCAGGCACTGGAGGATAGGATGAAGACAGCTGGTCCAGCTGAGCCAGCAATAGAGAGGGGATTGGGGGAGGAGAAAATGAAGACTATGGAGGAAGCAGTGGTCCCCAAAGATGAGGAGGAAACCCTTGCTGTGGGACTTGGGACTCCACAGGAAGATGTGATCCTGCCAGAGTACTAAACTGGCTTGCTTTAGGTCTGGAGACCAACCTCAGCATTTTACATACTTTGTCCTTCAGCAAGGAAGGTGTGGAAGCATGGTATGCACTATAATGATTCTGTTTTGAGGTGCAAAACCAAAATACATATATACCAGTTGGTAATCCTAATTTCAATGCATGTGATTGCTTTATGAAAATAATAGTGTTTTCTATGGCATGTAATGGATATCTAATACTGATGAGTTAAAGTTGACATTGCAAGTAAACACAACACTTTAAAAACATGCATTCTTTGAAAGCTTAGCCATCCTACTTCCTCTGGACTTCTTCAAAGACAATAATTCCTTTGAACTACTGCATAACTAAGCCTAGTTGAAGCTAGAAGATGTATTTTCATGACTGTCCAAATACTTTTCATCATTACTGGATACAACTGGTTAAAGGGGGTGGCTATAAGTAAGAGTTGTGCAGTATGTTAAAAAAAATCATTTACAGTGTTTAGAAACTTAAAGTGTTACAAGGGCCAAGAATCCAGTTGACTCCAGTTCCCTAAAGCATATGCAGACAATGTCTTATTTAAATTGGACATATACTATACTTTCTAATAATCATCAAAATGTTCTATCCTAAAATCTTCCAATTTACAATTCTGGAAAAATTATTTTTTAAACTGATGCTGAATTTCTGTCTTTTCCTTACCTGCTTTCCAGTAAGTTGCCCCTTCAGATGTATAAAACTTAGGTAAGAATAAAGAAATTTAAGGAAGAAGAGATAAAATTGAGATGTAGACATGCAAAGATTGATTCCTTTTCATTTCCCACATAAACTTGCATTTATAAACTTATATAACCTTGCAAATATGAAAATTTTTATGAATATATCCTATACTTAACAAGTTTGAAATTTTTAGAGAAGCCTATTGCATAGATTGGTGCCAAATGTCTGAATAGAGTGAGAATAATATATTCTATTGTCAGATAATTCATTATTGATTTTATTAGAGTAAAAAAACATTGTTTACAAAAGTTTTTTCTTCTTCAGTTACATGGACATACTGTTCATGAGCTAAAATTTCATTATGAAAATTAGTATCTTTTTCTCATACTTGGAGTGGAAGGGCCCATATTTTGTAACATAGTTTAAAATTTTTCCATGTCAAGAAATTTAGCAGAGTGTGAACTTTTATTTGCCTTAAAAAAGCAGAACAAAAATAAAAGAAAACACTTATTTTAAAGCAGACTTCGGAGAAGCTAAAGCATTAGACCTATATGGAGATTTTTTTCCTCGGGGTCTTTGGCTTTGGCTGCCATAGGAACAGGTTCACTCATGAGAAATTATATTAAATCCAAGTCCCTCAAATTTCTACAATGACACCAGGAAATTGAATAAATGTGAACATTTAAAAATGAATAAAATGAACATTTTATGAAAATAATTGTTTCACATTTTGGTGGGTTTTCTTAATTTAAAAAAGTATTACTTTCCAAATTCAAAATGAGAAAAACGAACAGCACAGAAAATTTTTTCATAAAATAATGAGATCTTAATTTGTTTTGACTCATACACAAAACAGTTACGCTGGAAAATTAAATTAAAGCCTGGCCCTCTCCAGGCTATTAGAGACTCCAGTACTCCAAGCACAAACCTACAGTTCCCATGAGAAGAAGGCAGCGTCTGCCGCTTGTACTCCACAGTTTAGGGATCTGTGAAGTAGCTGACAGAGCGCATTATCTGAGCTCAGATGACCATTTTTCATTTTGAATTGCTTATGCTCCTCTTTCCTTCTTTCCTTTTAATTATTCCTTCTCAGAATTCTCATTTTGAATGTTATAAAGGGCTCACTGTTTTTAACCTTTAAGAATGCTTTCTTCAGTAAGATTTCCATTTAAGAACAATTTCCTGGTGTGATTTTCCCATCAAACTCAACATATACATGGTAAGTGTCCCATATATAGGAAAAACAAATAAGGGGGGTCTTGTGACAAGGTGGCAAGTAATTGAAATACCAGAATATATTAAAACTGGAACCCAAACCATACTGTTTCAAGGACAGATCTTACTTCATTCCAACATGAGCTGGCTGCCGTCGTGGACACTGTGGACTACAGGGACAGCATTATAAGTGCCAAGACCATGTGCATTTTAGAATTCACTCATTCAAATGATTGCACCTCACCACTCCTTGGTGATACTGGAGTATGAGGTTAACTTCCTCCTTTACTATCTATAAACTGCACTGTCTTCAGTATCATTAGCAGTTTTCACTCTTGTTTGCTGAAGATTAAGTCCTGATCATGCCTACATGGTGAAAGTCCTCTCACTGGGAATAATTCACAAAAATGCTTATCTTATTCAAAGATTTCATAGAAATACAATCAAACAATACTTATTTTAGCATTTTTTAGAGAAAAGCCAACATTTACATTGTTGGTTAAAATGAAATGTAAAAACAAAGATTACTTAACTAAATATAGACAAAAGTCTTAATTTGAAAGACAACTTTCTAATATTCTTAACTGACATGTAGTCACAAGGCAAAAGAATTTTTAGAATTTCAGCAAAAAGCAATAAATTACATTTTGCATTTTAGAAGTGACAATTGTATTGATTATTGGTTTTTATTTTGACGACCAAGTATATTCATAGCCTAGGTTCTTTTACAATAAAGAACAATCTGAAATCATCTCCCCCCTCTTAAAAACTTCCAGTGGTTTTCTCAAACTGTTAAGCGTTCATTTGCCACAAACAAGTAAGGAAGACATTAGAATAGGATGGTTGTGCAAGTGATTATCTGGAACAAGTGATGTCTAATATAATCTATACATGTAATATTTTTCTTTTTTTGAGACAAGGTTTTACTCTGTATCACAGGTCTTGAACTCACTATATAGCCCAAGCTGACCTCAAACTCAGAATGATCCTCCTGCCTCAGCCTCCCAAAGGTTGGGGTTACAGACTTATGCCACCACTCCCAGCCATACATGTAATCCTAAATTTTATACTAGTCACATTTTTAAAAGAAACAAAAAAGATGAAATTAATGTTAGTATATTTTCATCCAACATATCCAAATTGCAATGATATTATATACTCAATGTCAAAACTAATGAGGTAATTTGAATTATTTTTATATTGCCTTCTAAATCAGCAGTATAAATACTTTCAGTACATCAAGTAGTCAATAGCCACATGTAGTTACTGGCTACTGTGTTAGCAGCACTGGTCTCTAGCACTTTTATTTTGAGCAAAGTGACACTTGAATTTCTATGCTTAGATTTGAGTGCCTCAGTTTTCCACATTGATAAGATTGAGAGGCTAAGGTGAAAATGTTACAGATGTAGGTAAGTAAATTTTGGCTGCTTCGATCACTTCTGTGTCTTAGAGAAGTGATCTGCAATATTACGTCAAAGCAACACTTTCTTGGGCATTCCAAATTGTGTACTGGCCAGAGTCCATGTGATCCCTGTTTGGGCTCTGGAAACCTGACTGCATCCTAAAACCTTCTGAGTACTGCCATAGAGTCAACTGTGGGCCAGTTGTGTGTCCCCACTGAGCAAAGACTGTGCACAGAATCCAATTTCTATAGTCCTCCATTAAGCTGAGCACCCTCTTTATGTTGCAAGTAATCTCTCTAGACGTGCACTGAAAAATGCAAATTTGCATGATGGGCATTCTATGATGGTGGTGGTAATATGTCAATTAGCTCTAAAATGGGAGTATGAGCATTGCCTGGTATTTTCTGGATTTTCTTAGACGGCCTTAACACTGCCATTGCACACAGATTTTTTTAAAAGACTTTGGGGATTTTTTACATACTAATTTTAGAATAACTGTTGATGTCCTACAGTCATAGTGCTATATTTACAAGGAAAGAAGCAACTTGCCTTTTAAAGGGACCTCGATTATGTAATGTTTTGACATATTTTATAATCTAGACTATTTAGTACTAGCTTTCTAGTTTTCACATGAAATGCAAGGTAACTAATTGTGGGTTGCCTACAGGCTGATGATTTCAAGAGCCATTTGTTCATAATTCAATCTTTATTACACAGAAGCAGCTGGTTGCATTTCAAATTGGAAAAAGAAAAGTAAATGCTAGAGAAGGCAAAGGATAAAATTAGTAAATCATTTCTTCTGCTTTAGGATTGTTCTTGCAAAGCCAAATTAAAATAAAAATTTTAAAATAGGTCATCAAAGTGAATTAGCACTAGGCTTTTCTTGATAAGGTTACCTACATTTATAATCGACAAACACACACATCACACATCACAGTCAATTGCATAATTACAATGCCATTATGTAATCTGCTTGTGCTTGCAAAGTACTCTTGTCTGGTTATCTAGGTTTACTTGAGACAGCACCAGGTTTTCAGATATTTACTTTGTAATGAGATTTGTAATGTCCTTGTAATTACTGTCTATTAAGTCATGTTCCAATTTCCTTAATGTTTATCACTGATATTTTCCTGATCAGGGTCATGGCTGACATTTGAGCACTTAACAGTTGAACACTTATGCTTAATGATTAGACTGTGTGTCTGCACTGTTTGTGTTTTTAAAACAATGAAGCATATATAATTTCAATTTTGGTATGTTCATAATCACATGAAGAAAATGTATGCAATTTTCTATTTTTAAAACTGTGTCCTTCTACTTCCTTATAAAAGGTGGCTCTATAGCTCCCTGAAAGTAAAGACAGGAAGGAGAGAGCAAGAGACAGACAGATAGACAGACAGAGACAGAGACAGACAGTGACATTGCTAGCTACACAGCCCAATGCACCAATGATAACTGTTCAGGATTTTGTCTTTCCATCAAAGACAAGTTTTGTCATTATTACTGTTTGTAAATATCATCTGAGATCAAATAATGTAGTCTAGGTCCAGTCATTTTATATTTACCCTAGAGCATAATAGCAAACTAAATTAATTTCTAACTGGTTAAAAATCACAATTTTCATAAATGGTCTGTGATTTACTCAAGGAGGCTTGACAGCATGATTTTAGCTTCCTTCATGACTCACTCTGTTCCCTAGCATATGGCCCAGAGGTCCACCTAGGGCAAGGTAAAAACCTTGCAATGAAAGAAGACCATCTGACAGGTTTGCAAGAATCAGACACTGCTCTAAAGAAGATTCCCAGCATCTGAACTAGTTGAACTCAAATTAGACAAATGATAGAAAACCTGTCCCCATGTTCAGAAGGACAGAAAGTACTCTAAATGTTGTTGTGTTGTTCTTAGAAAAATGAAATTCCACGCTCATTTGTTTTTTGCAGTGGTTTACTTGCATTTGTTCGAAGCCAGTGTTTTGTTTTATCTGCTGGACATCAGCCTCGCTGCCTCGAACTGAGATCCTAGCAGGCACATCCTAGAAGAGCTAGAGAGGCAAGGGGTCCTTGAGGCCCCAGAATTCAGACTGTCTCTAATCATCAAAGAATGCAAAATCGCATCGTTCATAAGTAGCTGTTTTCAGTAAATTCTAGACTGACCTGAATGATTCAGAGAATTATTTACATCTAATCTGATCTTTGCTTTGGTTCACTGTGTTGAAATGCCAGCTATTTAGTCTTCATTCAGATTGAATAACCATTTTCCATCTAAAAGATGGAAATTTCAAGCTTCTTAAATATAATGGGGTTCACATTAGAGTCTTTGAAAACTCTTCTGAAGCTATCTCCCAACTCTGACAGCTATGAATGATAAAAATTGACTGTGTGCTTTCTTTGTCATATCTTTGACAAGTGGATAACAATCTATTTTGTAAAGGCGACAATGAAGTATGACCACACATTGAAAATTACCATCTCTTCGCTCCCTCCTTTCAACCTGGCCTGTTTTTTATGCCTGCAGCATAGCTAATATACAATTGATAGGCTAAAAACAACATATTCATGGTTCTTACATTTTTCTGCTCATAGCATTCTTGGTTTCTGTAATATTTTTATGGTCATCTCTAAACCAAAAGAATGTTCCAACACGTCCATTTATGAAGCATGTAGGTCAAAATGGCATAGTAATTCTATTTCATATACAGCTGATGTTGCTGCTCCCCTTAACATTTGTAAATGCCCCACTGGGTTCAGTGATTTGGAAGAGCTGGAAACAGATGATTTCTTATGCCCAATGAATGAAGTGTATATACAAAATGGATTATTAGGCTGATGTTAATATGCTTACTTGTCTGGATGTCAATCATTTTCTCTCTCATCTCTGAGATACACACGTCTTAAGTTTGCTTTCTGTTGCTATGACAAACAACATGACCAAAACCAGTGTGGGGGAAGGATCAAGTTTATTTCATAGTTACAGTGTCTTACGAAGGGAAGCCAAAGCAGGAACCTGGAGGTAGGACCTGGAGAGGAAGCCATGGGTGAACACTGCTTCCCCTCTTGCTCCCTTTTCTGCTCTGCCAGCCTCCTTACACAGCCCCGGGGTCTCCTGTCTGCAGATGGCACCACTCAAAGTGGGCTGGGCTCTCCTCTGTCAGTTAACAATCAAGGACACAGTGGTGTCCACAGGCCAATCTGATCCAGATGCTCTCCTGATCCAGACTCCCTCAGATATCTCTGGGCTATATCAAGTTGACAGCTGAAGCTAACTAGGAGAACATATAAAATTAATACACATTTGAAAAAGTTAATTTCCACACAGTTCTCCACAGTTTCAAGTTTAATTTAACTTCAGTGTAGATCTCCAAAGAACATTTTTCGGGACTCAAGCAAACTATGGCATACAAGTAAATCTTAACTTAGGACTTCAATTAATCTTAACCAAAGGGCTGTTCCTGTTGGAATACTGTCAGACTGATTTGTTTATACACTGCTCTGTTTGCAAGCTACCAGGACAAACCTAAACATTTTCAGTAAAGACCATTCAATCCACATCATCTAAAATGCCTACCTGGCCTTTTATGGAAAAAAAGATGGCTGATTTTTTTCATTGTACCTCATGCTTTTTGATGACCTTTAGGAATCCATATCCCAAACTGCAAGGTTGTCTGCTTAGCTTAAAGCAGACAGCTTTCTCTTATTTGCTTCTTAGATGAGCTTTGTTTTATGTTGCAAATGATCTCACAATTATGCAGAGATAGAAATTAAAAGTAAAATTTCCCTGCAGGACCAAAAGTGCAAAATCACATCACGCCTGAAAAAGGAAATCAGAATATGAACTGAGTTGGTTAAGAGCTGGAAGTTAAGGTTTCTATAGTTCTTTGAGCAGGTTTTAGAAACTTAGAAATCACTAACATTTATTCACATGTCCATCAATCTGAAGGCCTGTTGCTTAGCAAGCTAAGAAACAAAGCACCCTCTCTGGTTTTGAATCTCTCAGAACACTATGAAGTAATTTATAACAATTGATTTTCGGGGGCTGGAGAGATAGTTCAGTGGTTAAATTCTTGCAGAAGACCCGGGTTTGAATCCCAGCACCCACATAGTAGCTAACAGCTGTCCATAACTCCAGTCCCAGGGGATCTCACAGCCTCTTCTGACCTCCTGGGCATTGCACAACATGGGTGCACCTACTTATGCAGGCAATACACATATACACATAAAATAAAAATAAAATTTTTTAAAAAGTTTAAAACAATTGATTTTCATTAACATTTATAAAATCATGCTCGCCAGCTCAGAGAATGCATGGCCAACTTGTTTATGGAAAAGGCTGCTTTCCAATACCCATACTTTGCTGGGCACTCTACATTCATTTCTTTTGAAAGAAAGGGCTTTGAGTAAATGTTTTACTTTTCTTACATATTTAGAAATCCAAGAAGGGTCCTTTTAGTCTATTTCTACATAAAGAAATTACTCATTCCAAAGTGTCTGCCTTAAGGGAAGCAGGTGTCCCAGATACAGAGGGAAATTTAGGAATTTATAACTTTTCAGTTTGATTTTCAGCATCTCTAGCTAAAAGACTATAGAGATTTGAGTAAAAAACCCATTATCTGCCTGTTATCAGGAGTATCTAAAATTCTAGTACAACTAAACAATAAACCCTTTCTTTACACGGCTGCAGCAGTCATTAAGATGATGGAGCCACTGGGGAGTATTATAAAACTCAGGAACAAAAGACATGAATCCTCCACCTAGTATTTCTTGGTTAATGTGTAAAAGAGAGGTTCCTGGAATGGGAGAGGGAAAAGGTGACATAATACACATTAGGATTCTACTTTCTTACCTGCCCATCATATGGGTCGCTCAGAGTTTAAAGGTAGTCATTGATAGACTTTTAACCTTTAGAAATGAATATATCAAAATTAATAGTTTTCTTTCTAGAAATTGAACAGCATACTGTAGGGGATATATGGCCTATAGCAAAAGCTTCCCAGAAATAGCCCAATCCAGGAACACATTTTCCCCAGTAAATTTTCACTGAGAGTCTATTACTTGCTGTGGAGGAGTCAGAGATGAATTGAACCCAGTGCAACCCTTCAGCAATGGGGTTTTTATTTGAAAAGAAAAGGCATGTTCTTAAACAGCCAGTGCTAGATTCTGGCAGATCTAGGGATGGAGAAGGGGAAACACTGGCTTCTGGCAAGAATGTGCAAGGAAAGTTTCACTGGAGCACAGCTGATTTTGAAGGATGGAGAGCAACTTTGCAGTTAGAGAGCAGAAGGGGAGCATGTCTGGATTGGCCTAGACATAGAAGGGAGAAAGGCAAGGTAAGGTGGAGAAGGATTAACACTGGATGAGAAAGGCCGAGACCAGGGACATGCTGCTGAGTGTGCAGCAGTCCCCGAGCTTGTTCAAAGCTGGATTCCTGGTGGATGCTCTGCTCCTTCCTTTCTCTGAACAGACATGGGTGAAGCCTTTTGCCAGAGCGTCTAGCCCTGCATACTTGACCAATGTGGTACATTTCTAAGCAGAATAAAAAACATGCAACAAACTGAAGACATGTCTGGTTACAAGTAAGCAGTTATCTCTGAATATCAAACTGGGCCTGTCAAATTCTCTATTCTTTTGTCCAAGTTATATAATCTATCAATTTCTTTTTTCAGTTCTCATTGAAAGCACTATTTTTTCCATTCATTTTCAAGGCACTTGGGTTTTTTTTTTTTAATATTTACCAACTAGAATTATAGTGTGAATAATTTTGTATCTTTGCTTATTTCTGATAATGTCTGTGATTAGTGAATGGTCACATTATCCCAGGGCAAATGAAATGAGGAGAGAGATACAAAGGCTATCACCTGAGTGGTTAAAAAAAAAAAAAAAAAAAAAAAAAAAAAAAAAAACCTTAAGATACCATTAGAGCATGGAAACCAGGTTAATGGACACAGAGAAAGGGAGACTTGCTGTGAAGGACTTTCAGGCTCATGTGACATTATCTGGGACGCCTTTTCTAGATTTTCCTAGATATGAAATTTTTCATTCCTGAGTTCTTGAAAGCTTTTTGGACATACGCAGCTCAAAGTAGCACTGAGGATGAGATTCATGGAATACCATCACACGCAGGAAACCTACATTTCCAGTAGATTAGACTGCAAGTCATAAACCCAAAGCAAAAGCTCATAAGATTTAGAGGACAAAGTACAAATATTTTAGTTTACATAGCTAAGATTATGGGTCACTTTCCCAATTTCTCATTAAAAAGTACTAAAATGGAGCTGTGAACATTTCATTTTTAAAACTTGTCAAAATGGTGCTACTGATTCCTTAATACAGATTCAATTATGCTATTTTTCAGTAACTATGTTAAGCCTGGCTTGGCCATAAATGTAAATAGAGAAATGTTTGTAAATAATTCATTTGAACCATGCTCATTTGCTAATAATGGTTGAGCTACCTTATTCTTCAGTGCTGGTGACGACCTGAGTTTATTTTCTATGAAGGGATGAGGACAGCCATTGGCTTTCTCAACTGTCAAAAGCCTGAGACATCTGACAGCTCATTGTGGCTTCTTCTTGGACGCAGGCTCGAGACTCCAACTCAGTGATTAAGTATGGTGATGGTAGGGGTGTTAGCCAAGAATTTAAACAAAGAATATATGACATGAGCAAAAGTGAATGTTGATAGACTGTAGAAACTGATTTTAGTGAGGGCCTATGTTGCTTTATGTAAGTTCACTCAAACTGTCAGAACATGCCAAAAGAAGCCGGTACCTTGCAACTGGGAAATCTGTAAAGCAATTTGCATGTATAATAATAAATCATCTAAGAGCCACCAGTACTTTGCATTCTGTGGTTTGAAATGCTACCATGATTCAAGAGAGCTGCCATGGACGTTTTCCCTGTAACTGAAAGACACAGCACACTCATTCTTGGAGGGTTTTCCCATTCTCAGATAAAATTCTTTGAAATTCATAGTATTTTTAACACTGCACGCTCAGATATTTGTTTTCTAAAGAGTCAGATTATGAAACCAATAAAGCTACAAGGGGAAATTAATAATTTTGTTCAATTATCTCATTATATTTAAAGAGACTTAAACCTAGTAACTTAACTGTGTTCATGGTGGCTCAGAAGGAAACACCTGAGGGTCACCCACAGTTCAGGCCAGCTCTCACCACCAGAAACTCGGTCTACTGGACGAAAGTGCAGCAACTCATTTGAAAACTTTTGATTATAAAAAATATGAAAATTATTATAACATTTTACCAAAATTTTCTTTTTCTCTAACATTGGGTTTACGTCCACTTACAAATTTGCAATCCTTTGCAAATTTCTCTGTACCAGTCATTGCACCATAAATATTTTGTCTTTACAAACACACATTTCTGACAACAGCATAGTAATTAGTCACAATTCTTTCTTTTCTCAGTAACACTAGTGTTTTTTGTATTGGGGGAAATCTACTTTAAAGAAATAATAGTAATGTGGAATTGGTGGGTCATGTGATGTTTCAAAATGATGCTTTCAAACTTACAGATTCTGAGATTGGAAGAAGGAAAAAATATTCATGTCGATTCTTAGGAAGACAGTATAATTTTTAAATGCTCCTTGAGCTTGGTCATTCAATGATTTGCAAACATTTTGTGTGAAATATTTGAAAGAAAGATGACATGGTAGCCTGGCTCACCCTTGAAATTGCTGTTTGCTAGTCACCATTATGAGTCAAAGATCTTTGCTTTGTTGAAAAGACATCGGTGTCCTAAACAAAGACTGCTTAGTTGAGGTAATTGGGGGAAATGCTAGAGACAAATTAAAAATCCCCTCAGCAAATCAATATGCTATACGAAGATTTTACATACATATATTTTTACTTCACTGTGGTTTTGCATTCTCTAGACTTCCTTTAATAAAGTCAGCTAACCTTAAGTTCAATTAAGGAATATCAAAGCAAAACATAAACAGGATAATAAAGTTCCTGGAAAGAAATACTAATGAATAATATGGCCTTATTTGGGTCCATATACTCTGCTTCTTTCGTATTTTTAAAATTTTTATTTTTATGTGTATGAGTGTATTACCTGTGTGTGTGTAAGTGCACCTGTGCGTGCAATGCTGTGCACACCAAAAGAGGGTGTCGGATACCCTGGAACTGGAGCTACAGACAGTTGTTAGCTGCCATGTGGGTGTTGAGAATTGAACCCAGGTTCTCTGAAGAGCAGTCAGGGCTCTTAACCTCTCCAGCCCATCTTTCATATTTATATCTTAAACTCTACACTTCTCCAGTCTCTAAGCAGCTGACAGCCCAGCAAGCATGGGTGTATGCAAGTCTCCTGGGATGTACCTGCAGTCCACATTTTCCAGTTCTGTGCCATCATCTGGCTATATAAACCTTTCACATGGACCTTTTGCTCCAGAGCAATAAGGAAAACTCCATTACCTCAGGATCTCAAGGAATGACAGTCATACAGCATCTGTCATTAGGAGGGGCTCCAAAATGTTTTCTGAATTCAGCAAGACTAATTACTATGCTTGGGAGCCATCATTTTCCTCCTGTGACATCCAGAGAAACCTCACATATACTCAAAAGCTCAACAAGTGCGCAACACAATGGTTGCTTATCCAGTCACCCTCTCCAAGAAGCTGAAAATCCCATGCATGATTCAGAAAACCAAGAACAAAAGCTCATGGGAACTTCCTACAAAGGTTTGTGCTTTCACAGTAAGAGAAACACCCATGCCTTTTCCTTCATTTTCTCTACCTGGATGCATCTGTAATCAATTCCCAGGGCTGCTCAGTTACTTCTCCACTAAAAGAAAATCAGGACAACTGGGGTGGCACTGGTCCTTTCATTCTTGGGCTGAAAAACATTAACATCACCTATATCCAGATGCCTCAGTCCATTTTAGCAGCACTGACAAAATACTGTTAAGTGGGGTGGATTATAAACATTTCTAGCATTTCCATAGGGAAGGCCCAGTCCAAGATCAAACCTGGGAGTTTGGCAGAGGCAGAGGCTTTCTCTTACTGCCTTTATGTGACAGAGGGGGCGATGGATTTTACTGAGGTCTCTTTTATGAGGACACTAAATGAACTCACAAGAGAGACCTAATCACCTCCCAAAGTCAGTAGAGTGGGAATAAGTAACAGTACCAGATGTTGTTAGATGAGAAAACTCCTGGTTTAAGCCACTTCATAGTCACATTTTCTATTACATACTACCATGCCACCCTAGCTACATTTTTATAACCTAGATGATGGGTGTCCTAGTAACTACTTCCAACTACTGTTCAATTACAAATGAAAGCATCCACAACTCCTAATCAGATTAGGACAATTATTTGAATATGTGTACAGGAAACCAATGCTGTTACTGTAATAAAGGCAGAATACATTCACTTGCACATGCTATATAAGAACTGCTGTAGTGTGGATACTGAATGCCCCTCACAAAGATCCATGTATTTGCAGCTTGGTCTTGAGGTGGTTCTATGGGAGGTGGTGCCTAATGGGAGGTGTGCAGGTCACTGGAGGCATGGTATGAAGGGGAACGTGGGATCATGGTCTTTTTCCTCTCCATTTCCTGGATCACGAGGTAAACAGTTTTCTCTAGCCTCTGCTCCTCCCCTCATGTGCTGCCTTTTCCTGAGGCCCAAAGCAAAGGCCACTGGATTATGGAGTGGAACCTCCACAACTGTGTTGCCAAAACAAACCTCTTTAACAGTTAATTTCCTCAGGTATTTTATTATAGCACTGCAAGGCTATACATTGTAGAGGCTGAGCAGTATTCTTGCTAATGTATATGAGACACTGGCAGATTAGTGTGTTAACTTTATTTTCCAGGTTTATAATTGTCTTTTGTAACAGTTCAGTGAGTTAAATCACATTCTCCAAATTCAGATATATAAAACTAAACATTTGGTCAGTACTTAAGGAATTTACACAGACAAGGTCAATCACCAATTACAAGAATGTCTAGAAATCTTTATTAAGATAGATTCCATTGTAATTTTAAAATATACATTTTATTTATATGAACAGTTATTCTAATTTTGCATATATTCATACAATTATAAACATCTTAAAAATATGTAATATAGCTTTTCTTGAATAATGAGATGATTTTTAATATTTAGCTACATATGTAAAATTTCTAGAAACACAATAATGAAGAAATTGTAATTCCAGCCCCATGCTCTGGAATTAGTCTTGTTTCTTCCCACCATGTTCAGGTTCCACCATTCCATACTTAGAGAAGTCAAGTGAGATCACCCAGGGGCTAGAAGTGTAGCTCAGTCCCAGCATGCATAAGGCCCTAGCTTTAATCCCTGCCACCACAAAAAAGGAAGGAAAGGAGGGGTAAGGTGGACTGGACAAGTACTTACACAAGTTCAATGGAGACCAGGTCAAAGATTTCCATTAGCTTCTCTGTGTTCTATTAATTTTTCTATAGGGTTCAGAAAGCTACAATATCCATTTAATTAAAAGACCTCGGATTTAACATCTAAGGATGATAGTAAGCACCCAAATAAACAAGTACAAGTATAATCTACATAAAAGGGGACTTATCAGACCTAAAATAGACAGAGACAAAAATTATGCATTGTGACCCTATCTTCTCCAGAACCTATTATATTTTTTACCTTAAGATGTTGAATTAGATTATTCAATTTGAGTATTAATCAAATGACCTTCGACTAGAAAAGAAAAGGGGGATGATGAGGGAGAAAAAATCTATGAGCTGGGACATAATTTTATACCTAGAAACCCACAATTTCAAAGACACCTCGCCTCTTCGAACAGTGATGTGAGGACTGACATTCACAATCTCTACAATGGTTTACAGCACAGAGAGCTGAAGAACAGTATAGTCTATTATTTTTGCTGAGAATTATTTCAAGAGTTATCAACAAAAAAAGCCAGGTATAGTGGTGCATGCCTTGAATCCCAGCTAGCCTGGTCTACATAGTGAGTTCCAGGCCACCTGGGGCTACAGCAAGATCCCATTCCCCCCCCCCCAAAGTCATCAACAAGTACTAATATTCAATACAAAAATGTCTCTTGTAGGAAATTAATTCTCTTTTTAAAAAATGCCAGTATATACTGCATTTCCTGCATATACAACAAAATGTTCAAATATGTAACAACATGGTAGATTACATTCTTCCAAATCCTTAACTGCCCTAACAAAAGTTACTGTCTTTTAAGAAAAAGTATTTTGAGACAATAAATTTTATTTTATTGGGAATTAGTAATTTATCTCCAAAGTAATGATGTCCTATACACTGAAGGCTCTACAAACTTGGAAAGATTTCTGCTTAAGAGAGTAATTTATGAACTGACTACTCACAGCAAGACAAATGAACATGAATTTTGTAGAACTGTGCTAATCATTATGGCAGCCACTGGCCTTGTGTGGTTAATGAACGCTTTAAATGTAGCTAGTTCACATCAGTAAAAGACAGACCAGATTTCAAAGAATTAATAGAAAAGATCACAGGCTATCTGAATAAAGTTTTTACATTTATTACACGTTGAAATATTTTAGATATGTTAAATAAAACAATTCTGAAATGAATTTCAGCTGTATATTTTTATTTTTATGTGGCTGCTAGGATATTTTAAGTTACACATATGGCTTAGTTTTCTGTCTGACTGTACTGCTACAGAAGTAGCAGGCCCAACTGTTAGCATCAACCCCACCTTACAGCATTTAATTTTTATTATGACATGAGATAAACATACCATATTATAACTAAGTTCCTGAGCTTAAATTTACGCACACACACACACACACACACACACACACACACACACACACATCTGTACTCTTAGAACCAACCACATCCTACTGCAATCTTTCTCACTCCTTCCCCATCCTGGCAGCTGGGATAAACTTTGCTTGAATGAACATGCAAACAGACAAAAGGGATCTTTTGGGGTGACAGAAGTGTTCTAAAAATGGACAGAAGTGTTCTAAAATAATGACTGAACAACTCTCAGATGTAATTTTTAAGATTACTCAACTATATATTTAACATGGGTAAACTGTATTATGTAAACTATGTATCTTTAAACAGTCACTTATTGTAAAAGTGCAGTTGGAAACCAGCAAATTTAAAGTATCATTTAGAAGCACTATGTAAGTTTCAGGTGATTAAAACACAATTTTTTTATCCATTGTAGGACTCAATATCATAATGAAAGCATTTCCACAACAGTCATTTTACCCGCAGTGGGTCCATGCTCAGCAGTGAACTCATTATCACTTACTGGAGGGAACACTCACTGAGTGACACTGGGCACCTGGGTTGTCATTAGAGGCCCGCAGCTCAGGACCAATAGCCCTTGTAGTAAGACCGTCTGCTCTAAACTAATAAAAACACATGAAGGCAAACAGATGACATCAAAGTTAACATTTAACCATTTCCAGTACTCACTCTAAACTGGATTTTCTTTCACTACTAAAGAAAAGCAGCATAGAAGCCCAGCAGTTCAAAAGTTTCAAACAATTAAGAAAGGGACGCGTGACTAATTACCAACTGAGAGTACAAGATTCCCTGGGCACTGCTTCTGTCATGCCCTCAAGCCTTATTTTCCATCTAAAATCTATGAGGTTGTTCACTGTGAATTCTGAGGCTGCCACTTTTTGTTTCTTGGAAACCATCATCTCCAGTTGCACAATTTTTTAAAAAAAAAAAAAAAAGAAGAAGGAAAAAAATGTCACTTTTTTGGCTGTGTCAAAATGAGTCTGAAAAACTGACTTTTTAATGTTTAGGAAAACACAGTAACATAAGAAAGATCAAACCCATTCATGCACTTGAACCACTGTATACTTTTGTGGTTTTTTGTGGTTTGCCTTCACATAATTAATTCCAGAGCTCTCTGTACTCCCTATTAGCTGAAAAAGGAAAAAGGAAAAGGCAGGAAAGGTTAGAAAAAAGAGGGGAGCAGGAGGAAGCAAATGGCGAAGAGTGAACCAGTAACACAGGAAACTGACACTCGGCCTGAAGGGGCTCATTGGGAGTGCACACATAAATACGGAGCTGCACGCACACTGAATCATCACTGGGTTTCAATTTAGAAGCAAACTGGGCAGATTAATTCAAAAATCAAAGAATGATTAGGAATCATCATCAGTAAGGAATGTTCATTTAGGTTAGCCCCATCTATAACTCATTTACCATACAACATCTAGGCGTCTGGCTAACTGTAAGGATGCATTTGTTAGTTCAGACTCGTTACATCACAGCTGTGAATGCAGTTTGTAATGCTCTGAGTTGAGTGGTACTTCTACAACTGAAACATGCACAGAACACTCACCGAGTCTACCTTTTAGCATCTGCTGGTGAGGAGGGGACACCAGCAGCAGCTTCGTACAGTGCTCACTACTGCTCAGCATGGTGTCCCAGTGCACGCCTAGCAGTTTTCTGTATAATGACATGTATGAACAAATGTTCTGATAACTCCCAAAATAAACACACAGAAAGACATGAATGTTTTTATAGACTTTACAGAAGAATTCTATCTAGGTATCTAAAATTATATTTGAATCAAATCTGTAGTTACTAGACTAGCTAATCTCTTCTCATTTTTTGTCTTCTTAAATCTTAAAATAGTACAAGTCAGTTGACAATGAACTTCATCTTTCTAGAACATGGAGAATTGCTTTTTCCTTTTGCCCAAGCTCCTGGTGAACTCATAGAGCATACCCAAATTAAAGCACAACATTTATACCAAGAACCATTAAAATTTTACAAAGTGTCCCAATGCTCTAAAATAACACGAATAGAATTTATACATTCTCTGACTTACAGACAGCCAAAATATTCATACCGAGGCACTATTTCGCTTCTGTGAACAGTCTGACCTGAATACCTGTATCTAAGTCTTGGTGGATGTCTTGACGTCATTCTTTCCATTCCTAGACATACTTCCATACCAAACGATGTGCAAATAAAAGTTGAAAAAAATTTAACTGCCTTTTTAGACAGCTATTCACTTCAGACAAAACATAAAATATTGTACTGCTAAACCAAAAATATTCCAAAAGTTTCCCCAAGCCACACGGTAGACAGGAATTGATGACTTTTATAGGTCATGCAGCCAAGCAGAAGAGCTGGCTTACAAACCACAGTTCTACACATTTGAACATATTATACATTTTGTAAAGCTTTTCGCAAATCACCATAAAAGTTGGTTAAAGTGCTTGCCATGGCCGTGTCTACTGCAGACTGTGGGATTATTCCACGAAGATCTGTCTGAATATAACCTGTCAAAAGACTTTGGTTTGGATTGTCTTTAAGTGGAACACAAAACCAACCGCAGGGATGGTTATAGCCGCGAACAAATTCCGGTCTTGTTTCACTCCAGTCAAGACTCACCCCTACGAGACAGTTTAATTTTAAAAATTAATAGCAATAACTGATATTTATCTAAAACTCTCATTTTAGAAATATTATCAGATTTCCTGTTTAAGTAATGCTCTTCTTATTCATATCCATGAACACTAAATTCCAGGAGTGACCACGGCAAAGCGGAAAAGATAATTACCAAGGAGAATGTGACAAGGGGTTGGTGGACAGGAAATGGGGGAAATTCGAAACCCTGTGGAACATGACATCATCTTATCTTGGTAACTCATGGGAAACTACAAATTTCGGTTCTGGCACCCAGGCTTCAAGGTGCCAATAACCAAATGCAGCACGACTGTGTGCAGGGGCACTGCTACACTCCACTGCAGTACTCTCTAGTGAAGTACACACAAGTAGAGGTTTACCTACAACTCAAGTGTACACAAAGTATTAATTTACCTATGATTTTAGAACACAGGAGCCTTCCAGGGGCAGTATTTTTTTAATTTCAAAAGAAAAATACTGCACAATTCACGTAACTAGGAATAAAAACTTATCAGAGAAGGTTGAGCTCAGTCTTTAAAAAAAAGACATCCACTGTGGCAAGGTCCAGGGAACATTCCAGTGGGGAGGGGAAGGAAGTAGGTAAGAGTTCTAAGACAGGATGAAGGGCTGCAAAATGGCATCCTCTAGACACAATATGCCCACTGCAGTCATGACTTCACAACACCTGCAGCTTCCTGCACTAGGCCCACACAAGACTGGCCCTGACAATAATCAGTCATGGACAGGATAGTGGCTCATGGGGCCCTTATTGCTGAACACTGACGGATTCTGGGAGAGGGGGAATCACCATCTTCAGTTGTGTGCCCACTGCTGAGCCCACCAAGCTCCAACAGATAACTCCAAAGTCATGGTCACACAGAGGGTCCGGGTTAAACTCAGTGGATCACAAAACAAAATGAATAGGGGTGAATACGAGAAAGTGAAGTGTAGGGAAAAGCTGGGAGGCAGACTCGGGTATAGGGAGATGGGAGTTAGTACGCCTTACGTACATGTGTGAAACTGTCAAAGAAAAATCCAATTAAAAATTCCCCATGAAATTAATATAAAGCAGTCTATACTCTCAAACGGCAGAAGTTCTTCTCAGAAAAAAAACTTACAAGACTTAAAGATTTCAAAAATTGTCTTAGTTAGAATTTAACATTTAAGAAAAAAAAAACAACAAAAAACTAGTAATAACTAAGAGGGTTAAAACTGTATCTCACACAGACAGACCTAGGCCAGAATACTCAAATTTCTAAAGTAGACTTAAAGTACAAAAATTTAGACTATTTAGAGTATTACCACAGGATAAAAGTCCTTCCTCATATCCCACAGTGTAGGAGAAATCAACAAACTCTCTTGGTGAAATTATATTCCAAAGCTGACCAGCAGTAGTGTAACGCATCACACAGCAATTCTGGAAGAGGAGAAAAGATAAGATAGGTGTTTACTACACCAGAAATTCAGACTCCTACATCAAAATTAATCTCCAAAAGAATCTCACATTCAAAGTGTTTTGTTACCAGAATAGCAATTCCTGCAGTGGCTGACAAATATCCTCTCTTCTAAATCTCAACAGTATTACATGGACATGAAGATGATAGATAAAAAATACAGACACACCTCTTCAGGATCAAAATCTCTATTTAATTAGAAAATAATGACTTAATACAATGACAAGGTGGAGAATGCTTTAGATACTGGAGATACAAAACCCACAAATATTTTGACTACAATACCACACTACAGGTTTTGATTTAAAAAAAAAAAAAAAAAAAAGCATGATAAGAAAAGAATATAACACAGACGAGCCCCTGTGGGTAGATCTAGCTGCCGAGTGCTAAGGCAGTACTTTCATCCTCAGTCTTTGACTTCGATGGAATCTAAATGGTAAATCCATACACATTAACCTAGAAACATAAATATGAGGAGGTGTTCTTCTAACTTAAAAAATTTTAGAACCTTAAAGTTTTACAATTAAAGATGCTAAAGATTTGCACAAGCAGCAAAGATAGAGCTACTGTGGAAAACAAACAGTCCTAATGCTGACTAAGTGAGGAAAGTGAAGTTTTTTGAAAGGATTCTCCTGTGATACCTCTACCACAACTATTACTCTCAGTGCTGATGCACACATGCAGTGGGAACTTGTGATCTCTCTCTCTCTCTCTTTCTTTCACTCACTCACTCACTCACTCACTCACTCACTCACTCACTCACTGTAGTCATGTTCCTAAACAGTTACCTCTTCAAAATGCTCCAATATATCCAAAGAAGTCATTAACCGGTCCCAATCCAAGCGCCAGGGCCCTGGGCGTATATGATCTATCACACTATTGACAATGTCATCTATAACACCTTGTACTTTGTAGCTGGAGAACAGAAATAAAACAAAGGCTATCAGGATGAAAAACTTCAGTTTGGAGCTAACATTGAAAGGAGAAACAATTAACAGAGGTTTCTGTTTAAAATTTTAGTTTTATTTGTGAATGCCGTGTGTGTGTGTGTGTGTGTGTGTGTGTGTGTGTGTGTGTGGCCCATGTATATGTCATGTGTATGCAGGTGCATACAGGAAGAAGGCACTGGAGCCCCTGGAGCTGGAGTTATAGGTGGTTGTAAGCAACCTGGTGTGGATGCTGGGAACCAAACTCAGGTCTTCTAGAAGAGCAACAAGCACTTTTAACCATTGGGCCAGCTCTCCAGACATCCAATCATACCCCACCCCTACTTTTTTTGAGACAGGGTCTCACTGTGTAGCCCCAGCTAGCCTGGAATTTGCTATGCGGACTACTTGCTACCTTCCGAATGGTATACTGAAAGGCATGCACCACCACACCTGGAGGCTTTTTATAAATGAAAATATGCTAACAACTTTTCTAATAAATTAAGTTCTACCAATTATTTTTATCAAAATACATCCTTTGTCCGGCAATTAGAGAACTGAAGGTTATGCTGCATTGTCATCATGGGCACAGTAAAATCCCTTCAATTATATACCCCCAAACTGCTGCAGTACACTCTAATGCTTCTGTTTATTTTATATATTACTCTTTCCTTAGTTATCCTAAAGCATATTAGTACATGCATAGATTTACCCTAACTTCTAAAAGCTTTTCATAGTTTCATATTATATTTACATATAAATGGGCACACAATGACTACAGAGGATATAAATTAATTCCTATAAAGCCAATGAAAAGTGACAAGCCAACAAAAGACAGGCAAAAGATGGATTATGATAACCTAAAATATCAATAAACACCCTCAACATCACTAGTGATGAAGCATACATTAACAAGATACCACCTATATTACCCCTCAGAGTGCCAGACAGGAAAACCTTAAGAAAGGTGTTTGAATCTGATTCTGAAGACAGTCACAGATCTCTCCCCAGAAAGCTGCATGGGGTCACAAAGTTTTGTATACAATCTTAGAGAAAAATGCAAGAAGTTAGTCACTGACCCCTAAGGACAGTCTCTTAACATTCTCCATGATCATTTCCATCTTTCACAGTATTATGCTAAATTCTGAATCTTCTGAGGACCTGGAGAACAGGGTGGGAACTGGGGAAGAAAAATGGCATTCCTTCCTGTAGAATTCAAGGGCCCCCAGACTCAAGCTTTCCCCACCCTCAGGTTTGATGCTCCAGTTGTATAAGCAGAACTTCTACTTCCCTAATAAAAATCCCTAAGTGCTCCTCTTCTCTGGAAAGAAGGAGCCATTATTTTGCCTGGAGTATGAACTAGCGCTTTGTTCTTAAGAAGCATCTATTCTTCCTTTAAGTGTCAACTCAAACAAATTAGCTCTTCCATGAAGTCTCTTAAAATCTGAGTGTAGTGCTCCCTTAGCACTTTTTATGTTTTTCAGTCCCCACTGGGAATTACTGATCTGAAGAATTCATTCTCAGACTTGTTTACAATGCTTAATCCAACTCTAGTCTCCCTGTCCATGTCATAAATATTGTACAAGTCATTTTTTCTAGAAACAGTACCTTTGGCAAGGCACTTCAGAACATTCTATATATAAGAAGTGAGGACAGCAGCTTCATTTTTAAAAAGGGCTGAGTCCTAAGGATATGAACGTTCCACTTCAATTATATAAGGTAACTCTCTGTGCTTGCTTTACAAAGCAATATATTTTTGACTATAGACATAATTCACATTCAACTACAGAAAAGACTGAAAAGGGAGAATAAAAGTCATCTATTATTATTTAGAGATGAATTTGATCTTAAGTAAAAATATTTTAATAAAAAAATACTTTTTAAAAACCTACATTTGTATAGAATATTCAACTTTGTTCATTTTGGCATTATATTATGAACGTTTTCTTATATTATGTAATCTTTTAAAACAAGGTTTTTAAAGGCTACTAACAATTTACCATCTGTAGATGTTTTCAATTTACTCAGGTTATTTAGTTTTTAGTATTCTCAATAATGCCATGAAACACCCAATACTCAAGTAATTGTTATCTTACTGAGGACTTTTTCAAAATGAATTTTTAAAATATAATCTGGGCACAGTGATTCATGTACTTGGGAAGTTGAAACAGGAAGAGTTGCACAAATATAAAGTTCAGCCTAGACTACATAGTAAGTTTGAAGCCAGCCTGGGCTACAACAGGTGACCCTATCTGAAAAGAATAACTTTCTAAAAAGGTGTTATAACACTAAGTGATAGAGAAAGAGCATGAACATCATATCTAAGAAATTCAGATTTTTATCTGTCTTTTAATATTACTATTTATGATCAACTCAATCCACAAAGTTTATGGCCATTTCTAAGACATGAATTCAAATGATTATTTTGCTTTTCATAAAGTTTAAAATCATAAAAGCTAAATTTTACTAACAATGATCATTTAATATAATGTATATAAATCATATATATCTACATATATCTGTATCTAGATAGATAGATAGAGAGAGAGAGAGAGAGAGAGAGATGATAGATAGATATGAAGTTTAGCAGCATCTAAGGGCTACACAAAACTGAGAATTTACTTACAGGTACCCATTAAATTCTTCTGAGGGTTTTCTCCAAACTGTTACATCTTTCTAGAAAAATAAAAGACATTATATGGTGATAAGTGCATAGGTAAAATGAAATCAACAATTTTCTCAGTCTAGAACACTTAGCTTTGCATTGAAATAAAACTTAATTTTCAGAGGTGCTGAAGTTATCTATGCCATAAAGTTATCAATATTTTAATTTCTTCTGTATAGCACTGTAACTTAAATTGTATATCTTAAAGATTTCAGTAAGTTAGTGAGATCCAAAGACTTTAAAATTCAATGATAATGCTGTATTAGTAGCCATGTATCCCTGCTCATTCTATTCTTACCTACTTAGTATTATTGATACATTCAGGCTATGACATTAGGAACATTAAACACTTCATTCTGAAACTGTTCATACCTTTTTAAAGTTTGGTGGTTTTTTGTTTGTTTGTTTGTTTGTTTTTTGGAGAGGGGTCTTTTTTGAGACAGGGTCTCCCTGTAGCCCCAGCTGACCTGGAACTCACTATGTACACCAGGCCAGCCTTGAACTTGCTGGGATTAAAAGGCGTATGCCACTACACCCAGCTTACCTTTTTAAAATTAAGTAATTCAAACTTACCATGACTGTGTTTTGTTGAATTAGTCCCTATTTTTTTTTCCCTAATCATTTTCCAATTGACTCTAAATATCAGGCTAACTCGAGAACTAAAGAAGAGTCCTGGTGCCATGCTTGGCTAACACTCAGCCACGTGACAGTTTGGCCAAAGCACACACTAAAGAATACTAACTGGCCACCCTCACAAGCTTTTGACACATCTAACACTACTGCAAACTTTCAATTACCATACTTCCTTGAATTGACAATGATACACACTTGCTTCGCTGACCAGGAAGACTGTTCTTTAGGTTCCAGTAGCCAAGGTGCATGCTTCTCCCTTTGTAAGATGGCCCACCGACCCTACTTACACAGTTCTCTATCTTGCACATCCATTCGAAGCATGGGTTCTTGTCTATATTTCTCATATCACTTTGAAAGTCATCAACCACTTCATGGGTCATACACCAAATCCCCAAACAAAAGCTGGAAGCAACTGAACATACTTACTGTTTTCTTTGCAACTCGCCACTTATCATCTTCAATGTTATGGTACTGGATGAGAGTGTTTTTAAGTTTAATCGAAAAAGAGGCAACATCATTGGGCAGGCCTTCCATTTTTATCTTCCTGTTAGAGGGACCAAGATTAGGATCAGCAAGTAACTGTGGTAAGTCCAAATCTGGATTCATAAATTCCCCTGGGGATGCTATAAAAGACATGTGCACCTGGACCCCACTTTAAATGAACTCATCAAAATTTCTGAGAGTAGGAGCTGGGTATAGGTTTTTCTTGAAAGCACCCAAGTAACGCAAGCAAAAATAACAGAAAGATGGGAAGAGATGGGAATAGCTATCTTACGGATATGCTGCTAATGCTAATGTGCAAGTATTTACCTTGACCCTCATTTCTGCAGGGAGTTTTAAAGTACAACAGCCAGAAGCCCACTTAGAACTTTAATCCTAAGGAGCATCTCAATTTGCCTATTATTATCTTAACATTTTACGATTAAAATGACAATTGAGCCTAGGTTCTCAAACCAAAAGACTTGGTGTATTAGTCAGGGTTCTCCAAAGAAACAGAACCGGTAGAATGAATATATATATATGTACAGAGATTTATCAGCTTAGCTCACAGGATAGAGTCCGAGTAGTCCAACAATGGCTGCACCACACTGGAGAGGCTGAGAATCTGTAGTCGTTCAGTCCACAAAGCTGGATGTCTCAGTAGTCCCAATCTGGCGCTGAAGGTCTGATGAATTCCAAAAGATCAGCTAGTCTTCAGTCTACAGCAGCAAGACGAACTCACCAGCGAGAGAGAAGGCAAGCAGCAAGAAGCCCGGCATTCTCCTCTGCCATGGCCTTTTATACGGGCTGCCATCAGAAGGTAACACCCACATTTAAGGTGTGTCTTCCGACTTTAGATGGTCCAATCAAGAAGATCTCTTTCATTTCAGTTAATCCCAGATCCAGTCAAGTTGACACCCAGGATTAGCCATCACAAGTCCACCCCTTGTCAACTTGACACCCAATAGCATCTCTCTATGTCATGCTTAATTTTCAAATGAAAACAATGTTGAGGTCATAATTTCACCTAACATGATATAACTATCCCATAATACAATGACCAATACATTATATATCTTAGAGTAGGTGATAAGGTCTTCGAGGAATGCTTAGTCCTTTGGTGCCTCATAACCCAATATAATAATCATATAGGTTCACAACACTTAACCACTTAACACTTATCTCAATGACACAGTCAAAAAAAGAACTCAAGTATCTGCTTAACATATGTATATACATGCATAAGCCTATTTTTAATCAAATAGGACAAAAATACTCATGTCAATTACAATCCACGTTTCTGTACCTGGTCACGTGGCCTAAGTTGGTATTTGTAACTCCCTTCCTCTACTACCCATTCTGTATTTCCTCCACCATCAGCAAGCACCTCTGCAGGTCTTGGCTCTTTCCCTGGAGGACTGACCCATACTTTCATCCCTGAAGGGTCTGGGCCATTTGTTGTCCTGTCTGGATTGGGTTGTTGCAGTTTCCCATTGACCTTAATCACAGGACATGGTAACACCAAAAGTCGTCCTAAGGAATCTCCTGCCTTCCAGATATAATCTTCATTACCTCCATTGTGGAGAACAAGTCCAATTTACCCCTGGTAGTCTGGGTCAATCACCCCTCCTAATACTGTTATTCCTTCCTTAGCCTGCTGACTTAAGGGCATCAGAAGCCCAAAGTGTCCAG